GGAATGGGAAATATAGGGATCTTGAGCTCTGGAGTCATGGATATCCCACTCCTGCTGTGCTCAGAGCTCTTCTGGAAACAGCTGGAACAACTTTTTTTGATTTGTTAAGCTGCAGAAATAATTGCAAAAATAACAGGCAAATCCCAAAGTATCTGCCAACATTCCCAAGCTTCCCATTTTTAAAAGGTTGTTAGTTTTTGGGGTTTTTTTAACATCATTATGACTTTTCTCCTTCTCAGCCTCAGTGGGCTCTTTTCTTTCTCTGCCTGATGCTCTGATACCATAAATCCCAGCAAAGCATTCCCAGATCCATCCAGGGCTTTGGAACATTAAAATCCACCATCTGGCTTGGAAAATCCATGAGGTGGAGGTGCCTGGAAGCTGCAGGAACGCAGCAGGAATTATTGTTCCTTGTTACCCTGCTCAGTGTTCTCCCCTCAGCCTCTGGCAGCTGCCAGGGACAGGCTGGATGTGTTGGGATTTGGGGAACAGAGCTCCTACCTGGCTGGAAGAGTGGGAAGAAAAGGGACATCCCAAATCTCTTGGAACAGGAGAGGAAAACCCAAATATTCTCGATGAGAATGTGGCTGCTTTAGGGGCTCTGTTGTGTTCCCTGCTGCATGGGGTTCCTCAGGAGGAGGGTGGAGTTGAATCCTCAGGATCCTGGATAGGATTCCCTGGGTTTTTGACCTTTGAAGAAGCAGTGTGCTCTCTCTGAACCTGATTCCTGCACAGAAGGAGTTTGGGAATTGCTGCTCCCTCCCAGGAATCCTTAAGGCTGGAAAAGACCTCCAAGATCGAGCCCAGCCGAGTCCTGCGACTCCTCTGTTTGCCTTGGGGGTTTTCCAGGTTTCCCACCTGGATGACATTCCCTGGATTCCCAGCAGCAAGAACAGGGATGTTCAATAATGAGGAAGAGGTTGAACATGGGAATGCTGATCCTGGGAAGCACCAAACAGATGTTCAACATCTGGAATGGCCCAGGACTCAAGCGGGCTGAGCTGTGGAGCACCTTCCTTATAAAACACAACACCTGGAGCAGCACCCCGGGAGTAAACTCGTTCCAAGGACCGGCTGTGGCCTCCAGCTGGTCTAAATCCAAGGAAAAGGGACAAGAGTGTCCCTTTTGAAAACCATGTGTGGGCTTTAGCACATTGCTGATGCCAGGTCTAGAAGGAAAATGTCCCATTTCTGCCACTTTAATGTGCAGCAGAGCTGATCCTCACCTAGCTCAGGGTCTCAAACCTACCCAGGGCTTCCTACAGGATGGAAAAATCCCACAGTCACAGATGGAAAACTCCCTCTCCCACTTTCCCAGCTGCCAGTGCAAATTTCCTCCTGTTTCCCATCTTTTCCCAGGTGTTTTTCCAGCACAGTTTGAAGTGTTGGCTCCCTGGCCTTTGGGTTAATCGCTTTAAAAGGCTTTTATTAAAAACACTTGGAGATCTTCAGCACTCAGAGCTTCTTCTGAGCGGATTTAAGGCTTCGATTACTTTTTTTCCTGGTGAAGAAAATGAGGCAGGGTAGGGGAAGCAGGGGAACAAAGTTCCCTCTGACAGCCCTGGGTAAACACAATTTCTCCATCAAGGCAAAAGCTGGAAACATTTCCTAAATTGCACCAGGGAAAGCGAGTTGCAGGGTTTGGAAAGCAGCCTGGGGAGGCCTGGAATGCCCTGAGGCTCCAATACCTTCCTGACAGCACGTAGTCAAAAACTGCAAGGTTTTAGGAGAAGCTGCCAAGCTCAGGAGAAACTTCATGCTGCAAATGGATTTCTCAGGCTCCTCTGGAGAGGTTTCAAATCCCCTCTTACATCAGACCCTTGGAACACCTGAAATTGCCTCAGATGTGACAAATTTGGGTATCACAGGGGTTATTTTTAATTCTTGAGAGCTAAAGAGCTTTCAAAACTGGAGCCCAGCCTATGAACCCTATGTGAGTAGCACTGTTGGATAAATCCTGTTCTCCAGGGGTTGAGGGATGTTCCAGCTCAGACTTTGGAGAACTGAATTCCTGCAGCTGAGGGGGAGAGGGGGAATCAGTGATTTGCAGAACTGGGTGGTAAATGTAGACAAATAAAAGACAGAAAAGTGGGGGAGAATAAGGAAAAGGAGGGGGGAAGCCTTAAGTTGTCCAAGGTGGTGTCTGCAGAGGAGCAGAGTTGAGGATGAGGAGGAGATGCCAACCCCATTCCTTGCCCCTTGCACCACTCCCTGACCCATTTCCTGCCCCAGCAGCCTCTTTGCCCTTCCCTGGCTCTGTTTGTTGTGCCAGCACTGCTGAAAGCATCTGGAGAATGGAGGAGCCATGGAATCTGCAGGACTCGGCAGGTCCTGCTCTGATCTTGCTGCGAGCCCTGACCAGAGGCCCGTGGCCCTTTAAAGCTCCGGGCAATTTTTCTTTTCCGAGTGGCTGAATCCGAGGATTCCTCAGTTCTGATGTAACCCTGAGCTGGACCACGTGGGTTTGCACATATTTGACAAGCAAAGGGCTCCTGGAAGGGAATTTGTCCATTTTTCAGAAGCTCTTTTGTAACCACTTGCCACAGAGGACCTTTTCCAGCCAGTATTTGCCTCTGGGGCTCTGCAGGGCTGCTTTGTGCCCTCGGGGACCTTTTCTAGCCAGCACTTGCCCCCTTCAGCCAGGATTTGCCCCTGAGGACCTGCAGGGCTGGTTTGTGCCCTCAGGGATCTTTTCCAGCCTGGATTTGCCCCTGAGGCCCTGCAGGGCTGCTTTCTGTCCTCAGGGATTTGTTCTAGTCAGGATTTGCTTCTGTGGCTCTGCAGGGCTGATTTTTTGCCCTCAGGGATCTTTTCCAGCCTGAATTTTCCCCTGGGGCCCGGCAGGGGTGGTTTGTGTCCTCACAAGTGTTTTCCAGCCAGGATTTGCCCCTGAGGCCCTGCAGGCCTGGTTTGTGCCCTCACAGGTATTTTCCAGCCAGGATTTGCCCCTGAGGCCCTGCAGGCCTGGTTTGTGCCCTCACAGGTATTTTCCAGCCAGGATTTTCCTCTGTGGCTCTTCAGGTCTGGTTTGTGCCCTCAGGAACCTTTGCCAGCCAGGATTTGTCCCCTTCAGCCAGGATTTTCCCCTGAGGCTCTGCAGGGCTGTTTTTTTTTTTCCCTCAGGATCTTTTCTAGCCCGGATTTGCCCCTGAGGCCCTGCAGGCCTGGTTTGTGCCCTCACAGGTATTTTCCAGCCAGGATTTTCCTCTGTGGCTCTTCAGGTCTGGTTTGTGCCCTCAGGAACCTTTGCCAGCCAGGATTTGTCCCCTTCAGCCAGGATTTTCCCCTGAGGCTCTGCAGGGCTGTTTTTTTTTTTCCCTCAGGATCTTTTCTAGCCAGGATTTGCCCCTGAGGCCCTGCAGGCCTGGTTTGTGCCCTCACAGGTATTTTCCAGCCAGGATTTTCCTCTGTGGCTCTTCAGGTCTGGTTTGTGCCCTCAGGGATCTGTTCCGTTCAGGATTTGTCCCCTAGGGCCCTGCAGGGTTGGTTTGTGCCCTCACAGGTGTTTTCCATCCAGGATTTCCTTCTGTGGCTGTGCAGGTCTGGTTTGTGCCCTCAGGGATCTGTTCCAGGCAGGATTTGCCCCTGGGGCTCTGCAGGGCTGCTTTGTGCCCTCAGGGAATTTTTCCAGCCTGTAGTTGCTCCTGAGGCTCTGCAGGGCTGCTTTTTGCCCTCATGGGTATTTTCCAGAAAACACTTGCCCATAGAGACCTGCAGGGCTGGTTTGTGCCCTCACAGGTATTTTCTAGCCAGGATTTGCCTCTGTGGCTCTGCAGATCTGTTTTTTTTTTTTGCCCTCGGGGATCTTTCCCGGCCTGGATTTGCCCCCTCCAATGAGCATTTGCCCCTGCAGGGCTGGTTTGTGCCCTCACAAGTGTTTTCCAGCCAGGATTTGCCCCTGAGGCCCTTCACGTCTGGTTTTTGCCCTCAGGGAATTTTTCCAGCCAGGATTTGCCCCTGAGGCCCTTCAGGTCTGGTTTTTGCCCTCAGGGATCTTTCCCAGCCAGGATTTGCCCCTGAGGCCCTTCACGTCTGGTTTTTGCCCTCAGGGAATTTTTCCAGCCAGGATTTGCCCCCTCCCACCAGGATTTGCCCCCGGAGTCTTCCAGGACTGCTCTGTGTCCTCACGTAGGTGCCGTATGTGAAATCCATTTGCCTTCCATGACTCACTGGCTGTCCCAGGCTGTGGAGGAGGAGCCAGAGAAATGCTGCTGTCAGCACTTTGGAATCCCAGATTCCACATGAAATCATGGCTTTGGATGAAAACCCCAAAGTCCTTCCCTGCCAGGGCTCCCTGCTCCCTGCACCCGGAATGATTCTGTGAGTAAGGCTGGCCCTAACGAAGCTGAGCTCGGTTAATTTTCACAGGAACAGGGGCCAAATTAAGGTGAAAACAGCACTTGGAATTGAAGTGACAAAGCAGATTTGTTATAGGGCTACTTACAAAATAAATTAGAGGGGTTATATTAATGAGAAAAAGAGTCTTCTTCTAGAGGATGAATTTTCACAAGGTGGAAAGGTTTGTTTCATAAAATCCCAGAAAGTTTTGGGTTGGAAGGGAGCTTAAAAATCAGCTCATTCCACCCCCTGCCATTGGCAGGGACACCTTCCAGGTTGCTCCAACCTGGCCCCATCTTCCAGGTATGGGGCAGCCATGACTTCTCTGGGAATTCCATCCCAGCCCCTCACAGGGAAGCATTTATTCCAAATATCCCATCTAACCCTGCCCTCTGGAAGTCTGAATCTCTGTTTTCCTGTCACTCCTTTGCCTCCCTGCCCTGTCCCTTCCTCAACACCTCATCCTTTCTGCCATGCCTGAACCACAGCAGGTCTGTGACCCCACCTGAAATTTCCAAAATCCATTTCCCTACAATCCAGCATCATTCCTGTTTATTTCTCACCCACAGAACTTGACCACAATTGGGCTGCGATCCCACCTGGAAGCTCACAGCCCATTTCCCTCCAATCCAACATCATTCCCGTTTATTTCCCACCCACAGAACATGAACATCCAGGTGGAGGACATCCGGATCCGCGCCATCCTGGCCACCTACCGCAAGCGGGTCCCTGTCACCGAGGGCTACGTGGAGGTGAAGGACGAGGGCACCTGGAAACAGATCTGTGACAAGCACTGGACCATGAAGAATTCCCGGGTGGTCTGCGGGATGTTCGGCTTCCCGAGCGAGAGGAAATACAACACCAATGTCTACAAGTAAGGGCAGGGCTTGGTGGGAGCCACAAACATTCCTTGGAACACTCGGGGCCTTGTTCCCAAGGCAGATTGGCAGGTGGCACCGGGGACCCTGGGGGAGGAAAAGCTCTGACTGCTTCATTCCTCCAGATGGGATTTTTCATTTGTGTGAATGTTTGGAATGTCCAGCGTTTCCTGGTGCAGGCAGGGGAGGCCTTTGATCCTCATCCATGGGATGCAGACCTTGATGAGTATTGGTGTTTGACAGGGCCTGGAATGGGAGATGGGACACTTGGCCCAAAAAAATATTTGTATTTTATAATACCAGCTCGAGGATGAACATTTCCTCCAGCAGGGATGGGCTCTGTGTGGTGGGCAGGGCAGGGATGGGACCAAACTGCTCCCTCTGTGCCAGGAAATCCATCAGCTATGAGAAAATCATGGAATGGTTTGGGTTGGAAGGGATTTACAGCCCATCCAGTCCCACCCCTGCCATGGCAGAGACACCTTCCATGAGACCAATTTGCTCCAAGCTGGCCTTGGACACTTCCAGGGATCCAGGAGCAGCCACAGCTTCTCTGGGAATTCAATCCCAGCCCCTCCACCCTCTGAGGCAGGAATTCCTTCTCCATATCCCAGCTCTCCCTGCCCTCTGTCAGTTTGAAGCCATTCCCTGTGTCCTGTCATTCCATAATGTAAAGTCTCCAACTGCTCACCCCATCCCTGTGCAGAAATCCAGAGGTGGGATCAGTTCTGGATATGCTGGAAGCTCCAAAAAAGTCACCTTGGAATAAAACGAGCCTTTTTGTGCTTCCTTGTGCCCAGGTTCCTCCTTCCCACCCCAAGTGCATTTCCTGTCTGTGCATCCCAGAAGGTGCTGGGAAAAGGGTTCTCTGTGATCTCAGTGCTGCTATTCCTCCCTAGATTTGCAGATTCCTTTAAAAAGAAGGAAGAAACTAGTGATTTATAGGGAGAACATTGTGTTTTCCAGAGCTGCAAGCAGAAAGGTTTAGGCTGCGTTTCCTGTTCCTTGGGAGCCAGGAGCTCTGGACTTTTTTGTTGTCATTGTTTCTGTTTGCTTTTTGTCACCAAGCCCTCATCCCAGACTGGGCTCTTCCCACACTGCTCCCTAAGAAAAACATCCTAAAGCAGATGTAAAAGAGTTTAGATGAAATTCTGTCTCGTTCCTTTGCTGCTCCGTGATCTGGGGAGTGAGCAAGCAGCGGCTGCTCCAGGGGAGGGCTGATCACCCCAGACAGGAGCCGTGGTTTTCCTGCCTGCTCCTTCTGGCCTGTGGAATTGCTATTTCTGAACATTCCCTCTGGATCAGCCTGGCCATGTTTTGTTTCTTTCATTAGCAAGATCCTGATCTGCTGGAGAGATCCTTGGCTTGGAATAGCCCAAAGCCACACAGGGAAAATTGAAAAAAAAAAAACCCACTGGAATTCAGTCTGCAGGATTCCCAGAGAGATGAGCAGGGAATTCATGGCTCTGGACACCAGTTTGAGGAAGGTTTGCTTCCACCAGTGCAGCACATTTCCCTCAAACCCATCCCTGAGATTCCCATCCCCTACAGGAGCAGGGAATAAATCACCTCCAGACAGACAAAGTAGATTTTTCCTGCTTCCAGTTGTGGCCTTTCCAAGAAAAGCATTAACTGGAGCATCTGGAGCCATCTGCCTTAAATAAACGGGTGCACAGGAGTTGTCCTGTCTCTGGGACACATGGAAATGGAAAGACTGACAGAAGGTTGTTCAGCAGCAACTCAGCACTGCTGAAAATCCCATTGAACTGAGCTGGAATTAGGAATATGAAGTGCTCCCAAATCCCAGCCCAGGAGATCTCTGCTGCTGAAGAGCCTCAGTGCCCCAAGACCTCCCTCCCTTTCCTTGTTTTCAGCCTTGCTGGGCTCCAGCACCCACAAATATTTTGGAAAACATGCTGACATTATCCCAGGTTGGAAAAAAAATGGGGATGGCATTTTATTGGATGGGAGAGGCTTGTAAAGCTTTGGCAGCTGCACAGTTTTGTTTGTCAGCAGAGTTTAAAAGCTGAATTCTGCCTTGGGCCGCTTCCCTCTGTGTTATGGGCAGATGCATCGTGTTCAGCTGGTGTTACTGGGAAAGCTCCCAGTTCTGGGCTGGGAATGACCCTGGATTTGTGGTCAGGGCACTGGGATGATGACAGTGACACCTTCTCTCCGGGGCCAGGGGATGCTTGTCCCACATGGTTTGTTTTGGAGAGGGAAAAGCTCATCCTGGAGCTAAAGCCCCTCTCCCTGTGAATGTGAAGCTGCAGAAAAGTCCCTTCTCCTCATTCGTCCCTTTAATTTGAGAATCCCCTTCTTCCCAGAGCAGATCTTTCCCCACTCCTCCTCCACAGTCAGGAGAAAAGCTGGGATCAGGTTTCTTCTGGCCAAGGCTGCCCCTTCCCACATCCCCCCCATCCCACTGCCCCCAGCCCTGCCTGCCCAGCTCTGCTCCTGCACAGTGCTGGGAGGTGAAATGGTTTGCAGATGGATCTTGCTCAAAAGAAAACAAGTGAGTTCATCGTTGTCCCACTGCCAGGGGTTTATTCCTGACTGTAACTCGGCCTCTGGAGCTGACAGCACAATTTATGTTCGGAAATGAAACAAATCTAAAGTTGAGTCCCTGGTCTTGTTCATTCCTCACAGTGGCTTTTATATAGGAATTGCTGTAACTCCTCCTCCCAGTTCCTGCTCTGGCTGGGAAAGCAGAATTTAATGCATTTTGCTGATGGAGAGAGGATAAATTTGGGATCAGAGAGATGGACCTGATGCCTTTTTGAAGTCTTTGTGACTTGACAAAGAAATGGCTCCAGGATCAAGCAGCTACTCCCAACTGAACCAGTCTGCTCACCCCATTACAAACCCAGTCAGAGGTGCTGGGCAGCTCATCACTTCAGCATTTGTAGTAGGAACCCTCCTGGTTTGTTTTGACCTGGAAAATCCGGGATCTGAAGGGCTTTGGCGGGCCTGGCTTCCCTCCCTCCTCCCTGAGGCTGAAGGCAGCACCTTGATAACTTCAGGAATTTCCCAAGGGCTGAAATCTCTGCTCACAGCCCCGAGGAGGAGCTCCCCAGCCTCTGCTCAGTGGGATTTGTGTGAATTTTTCCTGGAGTTTGTGTGCAATGATTTGTTCTCTGCTCCCCAAGTCATGGAATCGTGGAATATCCTGAGTGCTCCTTAACCAACCCCTCAGCCCTTCCCACAGAGCTCCACTTGGGCTTTGTTTAAAGCTTTTCTGGGATGAAAATCCCTCTCTCCACACCAGTAGAAATGGTTTGAATTCCAGCTTGACCTGGAATTGGCCAAACTCTCCCAGCAGGAATGTTCATTCCCACCTCTGACCTGAGCAGCATCACCCCGGGCTCCCACTGATCCTTTTGTGTTAAAAACGAAACATCAGCAAAGCCCCGAGTTTCTGGCTGTAAAGATCAGCTGAATTCTGCTTTTTTTACACAGATTCAGTCTGGGGACATGAGGTGGGGCTTTATTTCTCCCCAGCCTCCTGAGGGCTGTTAATACCATCCAGATGTTGATGCCTCATGAAATTTCCAAGATGAGGTCATTGTTTGCTATTCTAAGGCATCCCCATCCCTGCTTCCCTAAGTCAGGCTGGTTCTTGTCTGCTCTGGAGTTCATGGAGCTCTCTGGACCTGTCTGTGAAGGATGAAAAAGCTCCTTCAGGTCCTTCCTTCTGTCCTGAGCATGGCTGGGAAGTGGCTGCTTTGTATTGCATCCTCCCTGGGTTTATTTTTTAAATTTTAACTCTATTCCTATTTTCCCATCCCTTTTTTCTTGATTCAGGGAGTTCCTGACAGCTCTGCTGTGCCAGAGATGGGTTCTGACAGCCACTTTTCCCCACAGGGCAGGCAGGGTCCTGCTGCTGTTCCCTGGGATGGATCTCAGCCCTGCTTCATCCTTTTCCTGCATCATGAGATGCCGGCACAGCTCCCTCTCCAGCCTGGCTGGATCCATCCCCAGCCTCAGCCCAGGGAGATCGAGTTCCAGGAAGGATTAGTGAGAGGCTGGGAGCCAGGAGAGCCTGGAGAAATGCTGAGCTGGGCAGCAGAGCTCAGTGAGCACTGGGGAGAAAAGTCCCCTGAGACATCTGTGACCCTGCAAAATCTAAATCCTAAAGGGAACAGCTGGGAAAGCCTGGACCTGCTCAGAGGAGTCCCCAAAAGCCCCCTCAGAAAGGCTCTTTGCCCCTCTCCAGCTGCTCCCCAGGCTCTCTATGCTGCAGCAAAGCAGAACTGCTTTTTCTCCCCAAATTCCACCCATCTTGCTGTGCCATTTATCACAGCCAATCCCTGGATCCCAGCTCTGCGTGGCAGAGATTCCTGGAATGAGGAGCAGCACCGGGATCACATAGAGCCACGTGGAGATCCCAGCAGGGCGTGGGCTCCCCTGAGCCATCCCTGTCTTTAACTCCTTTCTGAGGCTGACCTGACCCAGATTTCCATTCCTCTCCACTCCAGCAGCCTCCCAGTTAGGATGGAGCTGGATCTCTGCCCTTCCCAGTTTATCACACGTGCCCCTTCCTCCTCAGGAGTGCCTGGAGCAGCTCCAAGAAGTTTGGGAGTGAGAAGCAGGAGCTGCTGCCAAGCTGCTCTGCTGTGAACAACTCGGCAGGGGAATTGCTCGTGCTCTCGGAAATTGCTCTCAGGTTGTTAACACAGACTCACAGAGGATTTGGATTTTTCCCAATCCCAGCTGATAGCTGCTGGGCAGCCAAAGGGAAGGTTTTTCTGGGGGCTCTCCAGCCCAGTTATCTGCACAAATTCTCTTGGTCCATTTGGAATTAGTTGATCCCTGTCCCTGCCTGGGATGGGATCTGCACTCCTGGGAATGTGTCATTTGCTGGAGCTGCACCTTTGATTCCTACTCAGACTTTTTAGTTCTTGCAGAGATTTATTTCCTTTAAAGTGGTTGGATTTGATGATCTTGGAGGTCTTTTCCAAGCTGAATGATTCCAAGTTTTTAAGTGACACCTCCACAGAGTCATGGTGTGGATGAACACATCAGCCTCCAAATAATCCTGTCCAATCCTCACTTCACCCCAGGGCATTTTCCTCCCAAAATCAAGCAAAATCCATTTGTTTACAGATCCCTAACTTTCCCCCTTCTCCTTAACTCCTTTCAGGATGTTTGCCAGCAGAAGGAAGCAGCACTACTGGGCTTACTCCATGGACTGCAGCGGGAACGAGGCTCACATTTCCAGCTGCAAACTGGGAAACCACCTGACGGGCACTGGGAAGAACAGCAGCTGTGACAACGGGATGCCCGCGGTCGTCAGCTGCGTGCCCGGCCGCGCCTTCGCCCCCAGCAGCCACAGCGGCTTCCGAAAGGCCTTCAGGCAGGAGGTGAGCAGGGAGCAGCCCCAGAATGAGTCGGAAAAGCCTTAAAAACCGTCTGATCCTACCCCCAGCCATGGGCAGGACACCTTCTGCTGGGCTTGTTCCAACCTGGCCTTGGGTGCTTCCAGGGATGAGGCAGCCACAGCTTCTCTGGGAATTCCGTCCCAGGACCTTGCTACTGTTCCAGGGAAGAATTCCTTCCCAATATCTCATCTATCCCTTCCCTCTGGCAGTGGGAAGCCATTCCCTGGGTCCTGGCCCACCAGGCCTTCCTTCCCAGCAGATTCCCAGAGTTCAGAGCAGTTCCTGCAGGATCCGCTGAGAGATGTGAAAACAGAATTGTGGGATGGTTTGGGTTGGAAGGGACCTCAAAGTCCATCCCATTCCACAGGGATACCTTCCACTATCCCAGGGTGCTCCAAGTCCTGTCCATCCTGGCCTGGGACATTTCCCGGTCTGGGGCAGCCACAGCTTCTCTGGGAATTCCATCCAGCCCCTCACCATCCTCACAGGGGATATTCCCAATGTCCCATCCAGCTGCCAATTAGAGCAGGAAACCCCTGGGGGTGTAACATTTTCACCACCAACTCCCACAATGTCCCCTCTGCAAGTCCCACCTCCCTGCACCCCCAGCTGAGCTCCCACCCTCCCAAATTCCAGGTTCTTTCCTCCATCTCCTGCCTCCAAAGGGTGGGAGAGCAGCTCCCAGGGCAGCTGGCACAGCTGGGAGAGAGGAGTGAGGAAATCCCTGGGTCACGTTCCTCTTGGAGCTGCTCGGTCTGAGCCAGCTGAACTCGTGCCCGGCTGTGCTGTTCCACAGGCTCTGGAATTCTGGTGGAATTACCCTGTGGAAATCAGCTGGCATTTCCTCTACCTCCATGTCCTCACGAGGAAATGCCCTGGGGGGAGACTGGGAAAACACAGGGAGCTTGGAAAGCTGGGTTTGTTTAGTCTAGCGAGGAGGAGAGTGCTGAGTTGGGCATGAAAGTCCCAGGAGATGCAAAAATGTTGGAAAACAAGGCTGGAATTGGTCGATCCCAGTGTCAGGGGCTAGGAGAGGACAGCTTAACAAGCAGCAAACAGGCTAGGTGGGTGCCAGGGGAAATTTTCCAGCTGCAGCCTTGGGATAGAGGGGGAATCTCGGAGGTTTCTCATTGGAGAACTTTGTGGATTTGTGAAATTGTGAAAATTTGGATTTTGTGGCTGTTCTTGGGTGAGTTTGGGGGGGATGGTCTCCGGGCTCTTCCCAGGTGCCAAAAATGGGAATAATTATTGGTGGGAATAATGTAATCCCTGCCCAGGCTCTTCCCTGCACCAGAGCTTGCAGGATTTAGGCCCGGGAGGTGAAAGGTTTTGTAAATCATTGTTAATCTCCCCAGCCGCACGCGCTGCCAAGTAATTCCTTAAGCCTTTGTTTAGGCTTTGCGTGTCCTTGGTGTGACCCCAGCCTGGAGAAAAAGCTCCAGGCAGGATCCCAGTTGGAAAAGCAAAGGATTTTTGGTGTTCCCAAACCTAAAGCTTTGCTCTCACCACCTCAAGCCAGCTCTGGGGTGCAGCAGGAATTGGCAGCTCCCTGCTTGGCACTGGAGAGAGGAGTGGGTGATTAACAGATAACAACTAAATGCTGTAAACCCAGAAATGAGTGGAACTGGAGCTGCCACTCAGCTGGGTATTTCTGACTGCAAATGCCAGATTTTTTATTCCACTTTTCATTTATGATTTCTTTTTTCATTATTATTTATTATATATTGTTTATATGTTATTATTGGTCAGAACTGAGCACTCAGGCAAGTTTTATAGGGCTTGAGCTCAATGTTGGTCCTGGATTAAGCCAGGGCTGGAGGTGTGAACAGCAAATAAACCTCTTTAGGGCAGCCAGGGGTGAGAGCTGGGCACTGGTGGGCACAGGGCCATTCCCAGCCCTCCTGCAAGGCTCCCAAGGAATGTGAGAAATTGGGTTTTTCCCAGTTTTTCCAGGATGGAAAAAGGCTCCTAAATCCAAGGACCTGCAGAGAACTGGGATAGGGGTTTTTATTGTCTGCCCACACATGTGGTGTGAGAAACAAATCCGTGCTCACCAAAATCTTTGCAGATAAAAATCTCCTTTCATGCAGCACTTTCAGGCATTGGAATTGTGTGATGGATTTTTTAGGGTGTCTCAGGTGATTCTATGATAATTTTTAGGCCCAGATTTTCATAAATAACCCCTGCAAAGGATGGAAGTGACCCCAGTGTTACCTTTTTCCCAACCTGGAAAGAAACTCAAGACAATTTCAGTAAGGGGGTAATATACAAGAGGATCTTTATTTGAAGGCCTTCAGGAGCAGTTATGGAAAGATGTCCACAAAACTCACCCCCAAAAGGATGAGTACATATTTATAGGGGGTACATAATTATAAATAGTACATATTTATAGGGTTTAGGAAATTAGCATAATTGATCAAAAGCACTAATTAAGAGGGCAAGTGGTGATGAAATTTCCCCCCTTCTCTGGAGTTTTCCCTTCAGCACTGGCTGTGTTTTGTCCATAAAAATGTGCCTCAAAGAGTTGTTCTGGGCCTTGGTTCCCAGGCAAAACCAAGATAGAACTGGGGCCCTGCACCTCCCAGGGCTTGGAGCTCTGGAATTTGTTTTGTCTTTCTGCCTAGGGAAGGGCCATGGAAAAGTACTGGGGAAGTAACTACTAATACAATAGGATACAGAGCTCCAAATAGATGTGTGAAGAATACAGAGAGCAGATCAAAGAAAAAAAAGTGTGAAAAAGAAGGTTTAGTTTCTTGGTAAAATTTTAAAAGTTTAATAAAAAGACAGTAGGAGGCAGAAATAAAGAAACGGGTTAAAAACTGTTGGGTGTTTGGTATTTAGTTACTGTTATCTCTGGAGATAATTTTAAAATATTTTTTAGATTATATTAGCTTGTTGTATATTCATAGACTTTTATGTATATTCATATTTTTCTATAAACTAGTTTACATATTCTAGGACCTATTTGCATGGCCCCTCCTTGTGTTTGTGTTTTTTAGAGCATGTGTGTTTCTTGGCTGTGGGTTTGGTCTGGTTTTTTTATTACTTTTAGTTTGGGCTTTGGTCTGTATTTTCTTTTGATCCTGATAGTTGGTATATCAATAGTAGGGTCTTCATTAAGTGTTCACTGGATGTTATCTTGACTAAACAGGCAGTTCACTCACAACTATATCAGATACTACTGCTATTATGTCTAAGTTTTTGTTAATTCACAGAATCACTGGGTTGGAAGAGACCTTTAAGACCATGGAGTCCAACTCAGCCCCAACACCTCAACTCAACCCTGGCAGCCAGTGCCACATCCAGGCTTTGTTAAACACACCCAGGGATGGTGACTCCACCACCTCCCTGGGCAGAACATTCCAGAACTTTATCACTCTTTCCATGAAAAACTTTTTCCTAATATCCAACCTAAATTTCCCTTGATGTAGCTTGAGGCTGTGTCCTCTGGTTCTGTCAGTGCTGCCTGGAGAAAGAGACCAACCCCACCTGAGCACAGCCACCTTTCAGGGAGTTGTAGAGATAACAGTAGAAATAAAAGTAAAGTTATTTTAACATTATACATATAGAATTCATTGTAATATTTGCAAAAGGCCAACAATATAATATGTAAGCCCTGTGAAGAACAACTGAGGGAGCTGAGGGTGCTCAGCCTGGAGAAAAGGAGACTCAGGGGTGACTTCATCACTCTCCACGGCTCCTGAAAGGTGGCTGTGCTCAGGTGGGGTTGAGCTCTTTCTCCAGGAACTGACAGAAGCAGAGGACACAGTCTCAAGCTGCACCAAGGGAAATATAGTGTGGGTTCTCTGTTTGCTTTTTCTACTTTCATTGAGGTTAGGATTGAAGTATTTGAGATGATAGTTTGCATTTAGACTTAGGTGTTTATTGTTTTTAATCAATGTTACAGTCTCACAGCAGTGAGTCTTGTAGTCTTTTATTAGCAAGGCACAAAATGGTTAACTATCTCTTGTTATAAGGTCTTTTAAGGTTAAATTATCCAATTAAGAAATTACGCCTAAATTATTTTCACTTTTAACCCAATAATTGATCCCTCAAAGTCCGCACTGTGGACTTTTCTGTTCAATTACAAATACCACCCAAACCCATGGAGAAGAAGGAAGAAGAAGGCAAAGAAGAACAGCCTGCCTCTGTCCTCAAACCTCCATCTTGCTCCATATTTATTACTGTATTCTAAAACCCCGAACTCTAAGTTTTCCACCCTGTGATATCACACACTTGTAACCAACTCCACACCCGTAATCTCAGTGTTATTAATCAATTTTGGAAACCTTCTCCACTGCCTCAGGTCAAATGTAGTGTTCTCTTGTGGGTCTGTGCCTTTCAGCACAGAAAGTTTAAAATTCTCAGTACCCAGGGTTCCAACGTCATAGGCTGGGTATTAGGAAAAACTTTGTTACAGAAAGAGTGATAAAGTTCTGGAATGCTCTGCCTGGGGAGGTGGTGGAGTCACCATCCCTGGGTGTGTTTAAAAAAAACATGGATGTGTCACTGGGTGCCAGGGTTGAGTGGAGGTGTTGGGGCTGGGTTGGACTCGATGATCTTGAAGGTCTCTTCCAACCCGGTCATTCTGTGAATTCTGCATTTATAACAAAGGCAAAACCCCAAGGGATCACCACTCCTGTGTCTGTCTCTTGCAGCAACCCCTGGTGAGGCTGAAAGGAGGAGCCAACACGGGGGAAGGCCGCGTGGAGGTGCTGAAGAACGGGGAGTGGGGCACAGTGTGCGACGACAACTGGAACCTGGTGTCGGCCAGCGTGGTGTGCCGGGAGCTGGGCTTTGGCAGCGCCAAGGAGGCCATCACGGGAGCCAGGCTGGGCCAAGGTGAGCCCTGGGCTCGGGAAAATTCATCCACAAACACCAAATTCATCCCCAAACACCAGGGGTTTATGTCCAAAAAGGAGACAGAGGAGTCCTGGAACTTTATTCAAATAAAGGGAAAGGCCATGGGTTCTCAAATTTTTGGAGGATGCAGCCTCCTTTTCATCCTAATTTCTCTCTCTCATTCCCCACTGGCTGAGGTACTTGAGAGGTTCAGACTTCCCAAATCACCTACTACAGACCCCCTCCTCACGTATCCCCCTTTGTCTTTTCCTTGTGTCCATCAGTTGAATTCCTATGGAATTTATGGTTCCTCCCATTGTTCCTTTCCTCTCTCAGTATCCAATTTTATTTATCAGCACACCCACAGTTTGTTTGTAAAGTCCCTCTTTCCTTTCACTGGTGCCCTGAATTAAGGAATGTTCCACCCCCAGGAACATCCCATAATTCAGGGCATGGTGGATTTTTGTTGGGATGTTCAATTTGAGGACAAGGAATTTCTCCCCTAACCTTAATAAGTCTCTTGGGGCCAGACTGGAATCCTGTGACTTAAAAAGTTTCCCTGAAAAAAAACCTGGGGATGATGAGTTTGACCTTTTGCTCAGGCAGCTGTTCCAGAGCAAAAGGTCAAACTCAGCATCCCAGTAATTAATTCTTAACAACTCATCATTGTTCCAGTAATTAATTCTTAGTTATCTCATCTGCCGATCTGAAATTCCCTTTGAGTTCTCCAGAACCACACCATGATGTAATGCATTACTAGAAGGTTCCTGGCAAAAAAAGAAGTCCTGGAGTCAGACTTCAAATGCTCCAATTTAAGAGCAGGACAGTAATTTAGATCATTATAAATAGAAGGGCATTTGAGCAGCTCAGAGCCAGGTTTGGGTTTGGATTTCCTGTCTTTGGGAGTTGGTTTAAATCCCAAAAAAGTGGTCAAAGGTGAATTGAAACCACCTGGTGATTCCCACACCCGGTTCCCAGGGTGGAAATCCAAAAGACAACAACAAAAAAAAAAAGACAGCAAACCCTTGTTGTGAGAATAAAAAAATTAAAATTTAAAAAATTTAAACCAAACTCTTGTTGTGAAAATAACCGAAAAAAACCCCAAAAAACAGAAGACACCATGAATTTGTGTGAATAACCAAAAAAAAAGACACCAAGTCCTTGTTTTGAGAATAACAAAAAAAACAAACCAAAAAAAACAAAAACCCGTGTTGGGTAAAAAAAAAAAAAAAAAAAAAAAAAAAAAAAAAAAAAAAATAGCCAAACCTTTGGGAGAATAACTAAGAAAAATTAAAAAGACATCAAACCCTTGTTTTGAGAATAACAAAAAAAAAAAAACAGCAAACCCTTGTTGTGAGAATAAAAAAATTAAAATTTAAAAAATTTAAACCAAACTCTTGTTGTGAAAATAACCGAAAAAAACCCCAAAAAACAGAAGACACCATGAATTTGTGTGAATAACCAAAAAAAAAGACACCAAGTCCTTGTTTTGAGAATAACAAAAAAAACAAACCAAAACATTACACCAAGCCCTTGATGTGAGAATAACCACAAAAAAATCACACCAAATCAAATCTTTGTTGTGAGAATAAAGGAATGGGGAAAATTTAGAGAATAAAGGAATGGGGGAAGTTCCTTCAGCTTAGAGAAGGGGAGAGAAGGAAAAAACACGTGCGTGTCCTGAGTCTGGGAAGCTTTAAAACTTGACCAAATCCACTGGATTTGCCAAAAATCCTCTTTGTGGTGAGCTGGAATTTGCTGATGTGCTTAAGGGCATGTAGGAAACAGCTTCATCACCCTGGGGCTGCCACGTGAGGAAGGAGAACGTGGAACGTGCTGTTCCTGCTGGATCCAGGATTCTCCTCTGCCTTCCCACACGCTTTTTTTCCCTTTTGAAACAGCTTCATCACCCTGGGGCTGCCACGTGAGGAAGGAGAACGTGGAACATGCTGTTCCTGCTGGATCCAGGAATCCCCTCTGCCTTCCCACACACTTCCCTTTCCTTTTTTTTCCCCTTTCCCTTCTGCTCATCCATCAGTGCTCCCTGTCAGGAGCGTCCCTAGGGATGGGTGATGTCCCTCCAGCAGCCAGAGGGTCACGTTTGGGTTGGAAAAGGAGATTTTTCCGGCCCTGGATGCTCAGGGAGCTGTCCAAGCTCTCCATGCCGTGTCCCTGTTTACACTTTATTCTGTTCCAGCTGCATCCCAGGGAATTTGGGTTTTCTTGGGGTAGAAGAAGGAGCAGCCTCACCGTGGCTGTGGGAGGTTGGTTTTCACAGGCTAAATCAGCTCCCAGTAGCTGAACTGGGAGTCCCAGTTCACAGAATTCCCAGAATTCCCAGAATCACTGGGTTAGAAGAGACCTTTAAGATCATCAAACCCAGCCCCAACACCTCAACTCAACCCTGGCACCCAGTGACACATCCAGGTTTTTTTTGAACACACCCAGGGATGGTGACTCCACCACCTCCCCGGGCAGCCATTCCAGAACTTTATCACTCTTTCCATAAAAAACTTTTTCCTAATATCCAACCTAAATTTCCCTTGGTGCAGCTTGAGGCTGTGTCCTCTGCCTCTGTCAGTGCTGCCTGGAGAAAGAGAAAATTAAGTGGGAGAGCAGTGCCTTCCACAGAGCTCAGGGTGTGGGAGGAGGATTTATCCCACCTTTCCTAGACCCAGATTAAACAATTCACCCTTATTTTCACACGGGGAGGAGACACTGAGCCCAGAGCTCATGGATGTGTTGATATCCTGGGAGGGAGAACATGGAATTAAACTCCAAGGAGTAGGTGAAGGCAAATGTTGGATAGACAGGCCTAATCCTGGGGTTTTTTAAGTGCAATGGCAGGGAGGAAATACAGTTTCCCTCACATTTCAACATTTGGCTCCATTTCTGTGCCCCCACGTGCCATAATTTCCCCAGGAAGAGCAGCCCTGCCAGGGTTCTCTGGCTCAGAGAGGCCCTGCCCTTGTAATTTGTCATTTTTGTCATCTTTGTCATCCTGGCCATCCCACTGGAATGGCTTTGCCAGGCTGGGAATGTTGGCCTGGCTCCCTCCTGCATTCCTGGAGCTTCTCCCTCCAGTTCTGGTCAGGGCTTTCCTCCCCCTCAGCCCTTTGGTGGCTGCAGAATGACAGGGAGGTGCTGCCAGCTCCAGATGGGAACCACAAACGGGATTTTAATGAGAGAGAGGTGAAAAAAAAGGACAAGATTCCCATTCCCAGCAGCCTCCCCCAGGAATGTCCTCCCACCCTGTCCAGCTGTGGTGTGAGGGGTGGACACAGGCCTGGCCAAGTTGCCCAAACCCCATTAATAAACTGTGGGTGAAATTAAACCCAACACATTCACACCTCTGCCTTCTTCTTTCTAAGCAGTTTTGGAAGCAGGAGCTGAGTTTTGCAGGAGGATCATTCCCTTCCATGCTTTTCTGATGGAAATTCCAATTTGCTGCTGCTGCTCATCCTGGGAGGACCCAAATTATTCCATTTTTCTGCCAGCACCTCGAGCCCATGCTCTCTGCTGTTTCCCTCAGTGATCCTCGACCTGCCCCAGATTTCTTTTCCTGACTCCTCATCCACCCTGCGGATGTTTTATTCACAGCCAACGTGTTGATGTCCCAGTTCTATGTCAGGAATGTCAGGCCTTGACTGGAAGCAGATTCCAGCACAAAGACCCAGCCAAAAGGTCATAACTTGTGAATCCCTACAGCTGAAGTTTCTAAATTATGAAACAGTGGAAACTTGGTTTTTCCTGGGATTCTTGCAGGCGTGAGTCGCAGAGAATACTGAAAAAAAATTAACAGTGAAATTATTAACAATAATTTCACAGATTTTTATTTTATTTTTACAAAAAATCGGCAGATTTTTTTCCAAGTTTTGAATGCTGGAGGTCACTGTGGTGTTCACGACCTGCTGGGGTATTCCCTCACCACACAAAAGGACTTTTTTCCCTATTTTTTCCCCAAGGAATGGGTCCCATCCACCTGAACGAGATCGACTGCACGGGTTTTGAGAAGTCGGTCACGGACTGCAAGTTCAACACCGAGTCCCAGGGCTGCAACCACGAGGAAGATGCTGCTGTGAGGTGCAATGTGCCAGCCATGGGCTTCCAGAACCAGGTAAGGAGCTGAGGGATCCAGGTGTAAAAAAAAAAAGGGTGGGAATTTTGGGTGGGAATTTTGGGCAGAAATTGGGCAGGAATCATTTCACCCAAGCTGTGAGTATTTAATTCAGGTTTTATCTAAAAAAGGAGGGGAAATGAGGATGAGTGTCCCATTTTGTGTGGGTTTTGAGCTCCACTGGACTCATCTCAGAGGCCTGAAAATGAGGAAGGTCAGGTTGGATGGGGCTTGGAGCAACCTGGACTGGTGGAAGGTCCCTGCCCATGGGAAGGGGTTGCTCTGGATGATTTTTAACCCAATTTTCAACCTTTTCCAACCTAACCATTGTGTGCTAACTGCATGAAGCAGACACAGATTCCTCTGAGTGCTCCTTCCAAAGGTCTAAAGGAGCAGGGAAGGGAAGCTTTTCCAGGGAATTCCTGCAGCTGGTCCAACCCACTGAACTGCTGGGCTTGGCTGGACCATCCCCTGCCAAAATGGGGAGAAGAGTTGAACTGCCTGAGCTCAAGCCCTGAGGAGACTCCGAGTGCTGCTCCATCCCTGGATGGTTTCCCAGTGCCTTCCCCTTGGGGAGCCCCTCCTGACCCCACACAAAGATGGGACACGGTGCTGCACAACCCGAGTGCCCTGAGTCATTTTCCCTGTGAAAGATCTGGGGATGTGTTCATCTTTTCCTGACTCCTCATCCACCCTGTGGATGTTTTATTCACAGCCAACGTGTCGATGTCCCAGTTCTATGTCAGGAATGTCAGGCCTTGACTGGAAGCAGATTCCAGCACAAAAACCCAGCCAAAAGGTCATAATTTGTGAATCCCGACAGCTCAATCCCCACAGCTCTCCTTTTTGCCGGTCAGAATTCCCTCTGTGGGAGGGAAATCCCTCACCAGGGTTTCTCCAGCTCTGTGCTAAACGGGGAGTTTTCTATTGTGCAGCACCCGGGTCACTTCCAGCTGGGTACATCCAATGATTCCAAAATTTTGAGGGAACAAAACCTTCTTCCCCACCCGTTGCCCTTCTCCTTGGAAGTTTGCTGTGGATTTAGGAGTTCTGTGTCCCGCAGCTTCGCCTGAGCGGGGGCCGCAACCCCTACGAGGGCCGAGTGGAGGTGCTGGCCGAGCGCAACGGCACCCTGAGGTGGGGCACGGTCTGCAGCCACAACTGGGGCACCGTGGAGGCCATGGTGGTGTGCCGGCAGCTGGGGCTGGGCTTTGCCAGCCACGCCTTCCAGGTGAGCCCCTTCCCACCCCGGCCTGGCCTTCGCATCCGGGTGGGAGGGGTGGGGGTGCTGGAGGAGGAGGAAGGGTCACCCCAAGGGTGGAGCTGGAAAGGCCTTGAGGGTGAAATCTTGTTGTACAATGGCCATGGAGGTGGGGGGGATTTGGAGCAGAAGGAGCTGTGAATGATGAGAAGTGAGGGAACTTCATCAGGAACTGGAATGATGGGATAAAGGGGATGGCTTCCTAGTGCCAGAGGGCAGGGTTGGATGGAATATTTGGAATAAATTCTGCCCTGGGGCTATGGTGAGGTCCTGGGATGGAATTCCCAGAGGAGCTGTGGTTGTCCAATCCCTAGAAGTGTCCAAGGCCATCTTGGAGCAACCTGGGATAGTGGAAGGTGTCCCTGCCTGGGTAGGACTGAATGAGTTTTAAGGTTTTTAAGGATTTGGTGACAAACATCCTGCTTCCCTGAGTTCTCTGTTGTTTTCTCACAGCTCAGGTTTCCCAACATTCCCCAACCCCTGCTTGGGCTGGTGGCTGCATGCAGGTTCTTGTCCCTCCCTGAAATGCAGAGGTCAGGTTCAGACTGGTGTCAGGTCTCCTGAAAAAAATTGGATTTTACCCCTGGAGTTGCTCCGGTGCAGCCCTGAGCAGCGGGGCTGGATCCAGCTCCATGAATTGTTGGTATTCCCTGCTCCTCTCCTGCCCCAAACCCTCCTGCATGGCCAGGAATGACACCTCAGTTCTGCCCCACCCCTGGGAGTGTCCAAGGCCAGGCTGGACAGGGCTTGGAGCAAGCTGGGGTGGTGGAAAGTGTCCCTGCCCATGGGATGAGCAATCCAAACCATTCCATGACCTCTGCCACCCTGGGCTCATGGACACATCCCAACCATTCTCCATGGCCAGGGAGGGATCTGCAGGTCCTCAGGGGACACTCAGGGCTTGGACACCCAGCTGGAGCTGCCCACATGCTGCTGGAGCCATTCCCTGCTCCAACTGCTTCCTCCAGCTGATTTCCCCCCCATCAAACCCCGGGAGCTGAGGATCTCCACACCCCTGAGCGTGGCCTTTCCGACTGCCTGGCTCTGTTGACACAGCCCTGAGAGTCCAGCGAGGAAAAGGCATTTTTTCCCTGAGCTGAGGCTGCTGGAATTTGGAACAGAAAAGGCTCTTATGCTGCCCCAGCTCCAGGAGCATAAAGCCCCAGTGTGCAGAACAGGGCAGCCCTGTGTGCTCCCAGCCTTCCCAAACAGCCAGGGACAACGGGAGCCATGGGACACCAGGGGTTTCAGTTCCTGGAAACTGCTCCCAGCTTGGGCACGGACAGATCTCATCGGATTTTTTTAGGTTCTTTCTCCCCTCCCCTTCTCCCAAGTTTTGGGGTTTGGGAGTTGACATTGTGTCATTCCCATGAGTTTTGTAAAATTGGGGGATGAGAGGAGAGGAAATTTGATCAGGAACTGGAATCATGGGACAAGGGGGAATGGCTTCCCACTGCCAGAGGACAGAGTTAGATGGAATATTGGGAATTAGTTCTTCTCTGGAACAGTGGTGAGGTCATGGGATGGAATTCCCAGAGAAGCTATTGCTGCCCCTGGATCCCTGGAAGTGTCCAAGACCAGGTTTAAACAACCTGGGATAGTGGAAGGTGCCCCTCTCCATGGCATGGGGTGAGACTGGATGGGATTCAAGGTTTTTAAGGATTTGGTGACAAAACTTCAGCTTCTCTGAGTCCCCTGTTCCAGCATCCTTTGGCAAGATCCTCCTGGATAATGTGGGGTCTTGCCCTGATCTTCCCTGGTGGGAGAATCCACACTTCAGCAGGTAAATATTCCCCTAAGAGCCCAAGGAATGTGTGAAATGCCTTTTCCTGCCTTTTTTTGCCCAGGAAACGTGGTACTGGCACGGGGACGTCAGCGCCGACGACGTGGTGATGAGCGGGGTCAAGTGCTCGGGGACAGAGATGTCCCTGTCGCACTGCCGGCACGACGGGGCCCACGTGTCCTGCCCCAGGGGAGGGGGACGCTTCGGGGCCGGCGTGTCCTGCTCGGAGAGTGAGTGACTCGGGATTTGTTTGTTCTTGGAGGAATGGCATGACCTGGATACGTCAAAACAGCGCTAAATTCTAACTCCCAGAGAGGTTCTGGCTGTGGCTGCTCCATCCATGGAAGTGTCCAAGGCCAGCTTGGAGTGAGCTGGGATTGTGGAAGGTGTCCTTGCCCATGGTGGGATGGGATGGGATGGGATGGGATGGGATGGGATGGGATGGGATGGGATTTAAGGTCAACTACTCCCATATGGTGAATGGTTCCCTCCCCAGGCTTTTCCTACTCAAACTCAGAGTAGGATTAATCTGGATATTCAGGAGAAGTTGTTCTTTTTGAGAGTGGTGAGGGAACTTCATCAGGAACTGGAATGATGGGATAAAGGGGATGGCTTCCTAGTGCCAGAGGGCAGGGTTGGATGGAATATTTGGAATAAATTCTGCCCTGGGGCTATGGTGAGGTCCTGGGATGGAATTCCCAGAGGAGCTGTGGCTGCTCCATTCCTGGAAGTGGCCAAGGCCAGCTTGGAGCAACCTGGGATAGCGGAAGATGTCCCTGCCCACGGCAGGGGGTGGAATGGGATGGGATTTAAGGTCCATATTCCTGTAGGGTGAATTGTTCCCCACCAGGCTTTTCCTGCTGAAACTCAGAGTAGGATTAGATTGGATATTCAGGAGAAATCCTTCCCTGGGAAGGTGGGGAGGGGCTGGAATGGTTTCTCCATAGAAGCTGTGGCTTCCCCATCCCTGGAAATGTCCAAGGCCAGGTTGGACAGGGCTTGGAGCAACCTGGGATAGTGGGAGGTGTTGGGGCTGGAAGTGGCTGATCCTTAAAACCCCTTCCCAGCCACACCATTCCGTGGCCCTCTGACTGACATCCCATGTCATGTCATTCCATGGCCCTCTGATTAGCACTGAGTGAGTCTGAGGAGCTCAGTGGCAGGACCATCCTGCACCTCCAGCAGCCACTCTGGGGTGATTTTATTTCATTGAAACCACTCATTCCTCACTGCAGCCGCCCCTGACCTGGTGCTGAACGCGGAGCTGGTGGAGCAGACGGCCTACCTGGAGGACAGGCCCATGTTCCTGCTGCAGTGTGCCCTGGAGGAGAACTGCCTGGCCAGCTCAGCCCACAACACCTCGCTGACCTCGGGCTACCGGCGCCTGCTGCGCTTCTCCTCGCAGATCCACAACAACGGCCAGTCCGACTTCCGGCCCAAGAACGGCCGCCACGCCTGGGTGTGGCACGACTGCCACCGGTGGGTGTCACCCCCAGGGGTCACTGCCACCCGCCAGCCCCTCCTGCTGCCACGGGGAACCTCTGTCCCAGTTTTGTCCCGGTTTTGTCCTGGTTTTGTCGCAGTTTTGTCCCGGTTTTGTCCTGGTTTTGTCGCAGTTTTGTCCCGGTTTTGTCCTGGTTTTGTCGCAGTTTTGTCCCGGTTTTGTCCCAGTTTGATCCCGGTTTTGTCCCGGTTTTGTCCCAGTTTGATCCCGGTTTTGTCCCGGTTTTGTCCCGGTTTTGTCCTGGTTTTGTCGCAGTTTTGTCCCGGTTTTGTCCCGGTTTGCCCCTCATTTTGGTGGTTGGAAGCAACATTCCCTGGGTTTTGGGAATTCTTGCTTCATTCGGTTCTTTCTTCATTCAGTTCTTAAGCAATTCGGAATTAGGCGCGGTCTGTGCCTCCCTCTGAGCTGAGCTTTGCAGACAGGCCCTGCTGGGTCTCAGTGCAGGGCTCCAGGGCTGGGATAGGCATTCCCAGCTGCCATTTGTGGGGTTTTTGTAGGAATTCAGGCCAGGCCTTCAGTCTGTGCCCGTGGGTGGAGTGGGAGGAATTGTCTGGGTCCAAAAACAGCCACTGGCACTGGGCACTGGATGGGATTTAAATCCCTTCCAACCCAACCCATTCCATGATTTTCTGACACCTGGGAGCTGAGTTTGCACAGACTGGATGTGGGAACTCTGCACTCACCACGTGCAGATTACCTGAGCAGTTTCTCACCTGGAAAAGGACAAAAATGCTGGAATGCTGCATTTTTTATGCATCTCAACCCCACTAAAACTGTCAGCAGCTGGGAGGTGGTTTTGAGCTTATATTTGACAAAATTCTTCCCATAAATGCATCATTTTTCAAGGAATTAAGACAGTTTTGGGTAAGCTGGGGGGTAAAGGGATCTGGAGGCCATCCAGGTGCTTTGCTGTGAAATGTGGACTGGTAAAGGTGAATTTTTCCCTAATTTGAGGTAAAAAGCAGTGAAATAACTCCATGCACACCTCCTGCCCTGTTTAAAAAACTGAGAAAAACACCAGAGTGGTAAATTTTAAATTGTAGAATTTAAAATAATCTTTAATAATTTTTTAATCAAATAATTTTTATAATTTTCCCAAAGAGCTGAGATGTACAGGTAGCACTGAAAAAGGGGGAACTTGGACCAATTTTGGACACGGTGGAAGGGAGGTGGGGTGGGAAAGGGTGAGCAAGAGGCCAGGAGCCATCTGTGCTCCAAACTGGAACAGTTTAGAGGGACAGGGATGAACTCCATCCCTCTTCAATCTTTCCAGTCTGTGAACAGCAGAGTGTAAACAGCCCAGGGAGTGACTCAGGCATAGCTCAGAAACTGAGTCAGGCTTGAGAAGCTCAAACTCGCAGCAAATTCATTGATTTGAGCCAAATCTGCCTCAAATCAACAGCCCGGGCTCAGCCTTGGGCCTCAGCTTTGCCTCCTGCCCAGGCAGCTCCTGTTTGGATGTGGAATATTATATTTCTTTTCCTTGAGCCAGGTCTCATAAGCTCTCAAAAGAAATATAATACACTCAAGGATAGCTCAGCTATTATTTTGGGGGCATAAAATAGGCAGGATGACTTCTGCTGCAGTGGTAGAAACAAAAAGGTTTCATAAAAGGCAAAATAACAAACAGAAAAACCCGAGCCAGGTGCAGAGGACTGCTCCTGGTAAAAACACCTCACAAAAGCCTTTTGCTCTTTTGTTCTCTTCTTTTTCTACCTGATGGTTCAGGCAGGACTTTTTGGCTTCTGTCCAATTAGCTGTCCTCAAGTTTTTGGTGAAGTCCCTGAGGTCCTATGAGGTGGCTTTTCACCTAATCATTGAGAGAAACTTCTGGGCTTCTTTCCTCTTTTGGGGTGCAAAGGCTAGATGTGCCACTCTGTCATTAAGGGGCACCCTCCTACACTGGAAGTAGAATAAAAACGGGAAAGACCCCGAGCAGGGAGTGAAAAATTATTTCATTCCGGCAGACGGCAATTTCTGGATTGTTGTTTGTTTTTTTTTTAGTGAGGAGAAACGCAGAAAAAATTTCCTCCCCTTCCCTCTTTGCTCATGCCCCATCTGTAAATCCATGAGCAATGGTGGTGATTGGAAGTGGTTGAGCCTTGATTATTTTTACAGCTGGAAAGGAGTGGATTTATGCCCGTTTTTCTTCCTTTTCTTTTTTTTTTTTTTTTTCCTTTTTTTTTTTTTTTTTTTTTTTTTTTGGGTTTTTTGTTTAATTCTTAAGCAACTGGTTCTGAATTAGGCCCTGTCTGGGCCTCACTCTGAGCTGAGCTTTGCAGATGGGCCCTGCTGGGTGTCAGTGCAGGGTTCCAGGGTTGGCATAGGCATTCCCAAAGCTGGGATACACATTCCCAAAGTGGGATACACATTCCCACTGCTGGGATAGGCATTCCTAAAGCTGGAATACCCTTCCCAAAGCTGGGATTCACATTCCCAAAACTGGGGTGACACAGAGTGGTTCCAGGTCCCACTCCAGTTGTCTCCCTGTTCCCTCATGCCCTGGATTTGCTCCTGATTCCAAGGCTGGGCTCAAATCCAAGGCGTTGCATCAGCATCACCCACACTGCTGTGCCCAGCCCTGCCCACGTGGAGTCCAGCCGGGCTAAAGCTCAGCTTAATTCTCTGCTGAGCCAGCAGTGGGACTTAAAAAACCCAATGTCCCCTGAGTCCAGCGTCACCCAAACCCTGCTGGGGTCTGACTGCTAATCAGGGACCTAAACACAGACTCCAGGCTCTGTCCTGACTTCTGCTGTGCCCAGCAGTGCTGGAATGTTCCCCAGGCTGGGCTGACACATCCCAGTTTAAAACCAGGAAATGTCTCCCGGGTGAAAATCCAGCTCTGAGCAGGGTGAAAGAAGCTGCTCCAGCTGCTGTTTTTTGCTGATAAAATTCACATTCTGCTGCTTTAAAAATTAATCAGTAAAAGCAGCCAGGTCTGGGCACAGCCAGCTCTGTGTGGGATATTCCTGGGAAATGATGGGGCTGCTCCAAAGGATGATTTTTTGGTGGATTTTTTGCCCTTCCTGCCACTATAAAACATTGTGATCCCACAAAAGCAAGGGACTTAATAAATGTCCCAGGCCAGGTTGGACAGGGCTTGGAGCAGCCTGGGATAGGGGGAGGTGTCTCTGCCATGGACAGGAATGGAAGGAAATGATCTTCAAATCCCTCCCCACCCAACCAGTCTGGGATTCCATGTAAATTAATCCCAGGAGGCAGCAGGAGGGCTGATGGACACACACAGGATCAGCCCCAGGGAATATTTCCTGGCTGGAGTTGTCCCACTCCTGCAGCTCCACTTCAGCCCTGGTAATTAAAGGGAAATTAATTGTAGGGGTAAATTAATTATCCCTCGGGATAATTGTCGCTGTCTGTCCCCACAGGCACTACCACAGCATGGAGGTGTTCACCCACTACGACCTCCTGAACCTCAACGGCACCAAGGTGGCCGAGGGACACAAGGCCAGCTTCTGCCTGGAGGACACAGAGTGCGAAGCAGGTCTGTGCCAGGGCCCCGCGTCCCGGGAATTTCATCCTCTTCCCAAGGTTCCTGAGGGTTGAACATGGCCTGGCAGGAGCCAGGAGCCTGTCCTGGATGGATGGATGGATGGATGGATGGATGGATGGATGGATGGATACTAGATGGATGGATGGATAGATGGATGGATGATGTATGGATAGATGGATGGTTGGATACTAGATGGATGGATGGATGGATGGGAACCCCCAGGTCCCTCATTCTCTTTTCCACCCTCAGCTCCCTCCATCCCAACTTTGAGCTGCTCCAAAACCCCAAATTGTGCATTTTCTGCTCCCTACTGAGTGAGGAGTTCCAAAAGAAGCTGCTGCGGTTGGAAGGTGGCAGCTCCTGAAATCTCACCCAAAACACCACACGTGGAGTTTACCACTGTTCATGGGAACAACCAGGAATTTTCTGGGAATTCTGCTGCAAATTTAACATTTTCTGCCTTAATTCTCCTCCTGTAGACGTGCAGAAACAGTACGAGTGTGCCAATTTTGGGGAGCAGGGGATCACGGTTGGCTGCTGGGACGTTTATCGGCACGACATCGACTGCCAGTGGATCGACATCACCGATGTCCCCCCCGGGGATTACCTCTTCCAGGTGGGACAAACAGCATTTGTGTCACCCCTGCTGCTTTTATCTTACCAATCAGATCCAGAATTTACCACATTTGTTCATTTGACAATTCCAACTTCTGTTTATAAAGGGATTCTATTCCCAGATGCCTTAAAGAGAAAGGATTATCCACCAGGATAATCAACACACGCTCCCAAGGGAAAAATCAGGGCCCATGAGCACAGTTTGGATATTAAAGTCTTAAAAATTCAATGTCCAGCTAATCCTGGATAGGCCCAGCCCAGCTGATGTTGCTGACAGTGTTGTCACACCCCAAAGCACAACACCCCTCATGGAGCTGGTTGTAATCAACATTCCCTGAACTTTGGGATTAAATGGTGCTGTTTGTGGGGTTTTTGCACGAATTTGGGCCAGGCCCATGGGGGAATTGTCTAGGTCAAAAAACAGCCACTGGCACTGGGGAGGAGGGAAAGGAGAGGAATTATTTGTCTGAGCTGTGTGAAATGGAAAATGGGGGTTTGGAGGGAGATTTTGGGGTGTGGGGGAAGGTGTGGTTGTGGTGAATTAGAGATGGAGCAGCTCTGCTGGGAGGAAAGGGGAGGGAACTGGGAATGCTCACCTGGAGAGGAGAAGGCTCCAGGGAGAGCTCAGAGCCTGAAGGGGCTCCAGGAGCTGGAGAGGGACTGGGGACAAGGGATGGAGGGACAGGACACAGGGAATGGCTCCCACTGGAAAAGGGGAGATTTGGGTGGGATATTGGGAAGGAATGAGGGTGGGAGGGGCTGGGATGGAATTCCCAGAGGAGCTGTGGCTGCCCCTGGATCCCTGGCAGTGCCCAAGGCCAGGTTGGAGCACCCTGGGACAATGGGAGGTGTCCCTGCCCTGGCAGGGGTGGCTCTGGATGGGATTTCAGGTCCTTCCATCCCAACCATCCCAGGATTCCCTGACTGCTCCTTTACTCCCTGACCTGGCTTTATTCAATTCATTTCTCTCTCCTGGTAAAACGAATCATATTTTCATTTTTTTGCAAACAAAATGCTGTAAAACACAACAATTGATCCTCCCCAATTCCCCTTCCAACAACCCCACCCCTGTCCCTCCACCCCTCCCAGGTGGTGATCAACCCCAACTACGAGGTGGCAGAGTCGGATTATTCCAACAACGTCATGAAATGCCGGAGCCGCTACGACGGGCAGCGCATCTGGATGTACAACTGCCACATAGGTGAGGGCTGGGAATCCTCAGGCACGCCCCAAGGATTCCTCTCAGACAAGGAATTTAATGCTTTCCCCCTCTGAAAAGCTCTGGTGCAATCCCAATGTCCTGGGAAAATTCCTTCTTCCAAAAATCAAATTATTTTGCCAAGCTGGGATCTCTTCGGATCACAAACTTCTCTTGGAAAACAAATGAAGCAATGGGAAAGAGCCTGCTGTAGCAGGCAGGAATTAAAATGTCCCTGGAATGTCAGGGGAATCTGTTTTCCTGGAAAAAAATTTAAAATATTATCATTTGGTATTTTTCTTTTCGGTCGTGGAAATATCAAAGCCAAACTAATTTAAATTTGGCTCATTCCATTGTCAAAACCATTGAAAATGGAATTAACTTGGGGGCTTTTCAGGACTGTTTTTACCACAGAAAATGAATTCACACAACTCCCTGCCCAGCTCCAAGTAAAACCAGCTTTGAAAATTCTCTTCTTCAAGGAATGTTTTTCCTGGAAAAAAAAAAAAATCCAGATTTTTCTCATTATTTTGTTGGGATTTTAGCAGAAAATTCTCATTTTGTGTGTCACATTTCAGGCTGTGACCTAGTTCAGGAAAGTGAAGCCCATTCCAGCTGCTGCTTGGGCTCTGCAGCTGAGCTGGGAGATATTTCTGGTTAAAAATAAAGGTTTTAACTTTCACTTTGTCCTAATTAGAGAGAAGTTGGGGTTTGTTTCTGGTTCAGAGCAGAGCCCTCACACCCTCACAGGCCTTGTTGGGCCTCACTTTATTTTTTAAGCACCAAACCAGCGACATTTGGGTAATTCAGTCTTGCAAATCCACATCCAGCCCTCCTGGGGACTCCTGGCTGTGCCAGTTGGGGCAAGATTTAATTAAAACTTCATTTAATTAACCCCAAACCTTTAAGCCCTTCATTTCCAGGGCACTGGTTCCACCCAATCCCTTTTCCCTCTCCCAGTATTCCAAGGGTTTTTCCCTGCTCACCCTGTGCTTTCCTGGTGTTCCCAAGTGGTTTTCCCATTACTTTCCCAATGTTCCCAAGTCCCTTTCCCTCTCCCAGTGTTCCCAAATCCTTTTCCCTGCTCTCCCCATGCTCTCCTGGTGTTCCTGAGTGCTTTTCCTGTGTTCTCCAGGGTTTTTCCTGTGCTCTCCCCATGTTCCCAAGAGCTTTTCCCTCTCCCAGTGTTTCCCTGCTCACCCTGTGCTTTCCTGGTGTTCCCAATCCCGAGTGTTTTCCCCATGCTCTCCCCATTTTCCAAGTGTTTTTCCCTCTCCCAGTGTTCCCAAGAGTTTTTCCCATGCTCTCCCCCTTCCCATGTGTTTTTCCCTCTCCTGGCGTTCCCAAGGGTTTTTCCCATGCTGTCCCAGTGATCCCAAGGGTTTTTTCCCCTTCTGGAGTTCCCAGTTTTTCCCTATGCTCTCCCCCTGTTCCCAAGTGTTTTTCCTGTGCTCTCCTGGTGATCCCAAGTGCTCTTCCCTGCTCCTGCTCACCCCGTGCTCCCCCAGTGTTCCCAAGGGTTTTTTTCCATGCTCTCCCCATTTTCCAAAGGCTTTTCCCTCTCCTGGTGTTCCCAAGTGCTTTTCCCTCTCCCAGTATTCCCAAGTGTTTTCCCTGTGCTCTCCCCGTGTTCCCAAGAGTTTTTCCTTCTCCTGCTGTTCCCAAGCACTTTTCCCTGTTCACCCTGCACTTTCCCAGTATTCCCAAGTGTTTTTCCCATCTTTTCTTGGTGTTGCCAAGTGTTTTTCCCTCTCCCCCTGTTCCCAAGTGCTTTTCCTGTGCTCTTCCAGTGTTCCCAAGTGCTTTTCCTGTACTCTCCTAGTATTCCCAAGGGTTCTTCCCCCTCCCCACGTTCCCGAGTGCTTTTCCCATTCTCTCCTGCTGATCCCAAGGGTTTTCCCCATGCTCTCCCAGTGATCCCAAGTCTATTTCCCTTTCCCAGTGTTCCCAAAGGTTTTCCCAAGTGTTTTTCCCACCCTCTCCCAGCATTCCCACTGGTTTTCCCTCTCCTGCTGACCCCTGCTCTCCCCGTGGCCTCTCCAGGTGGTTCCTTCAGCGAGGAGACGGAGCAGAAGTTCGAGCACTTGAGGGGACTCACAAATAACAACGTGTCTGCCCGGTAGAATTCCCACTAATTTAAGGAAGCCAGGACTCCTGCTCCGGCCCTTCCCGAACCACTGCACCCCAGGAAATGGAGCCTCCACCAAACTCTGAATTTCAGGTGAATCGTTCCTGAAGAAGCCTCTCCCTCCCCAGTTTAGGTGCTCAGGCCACCCCTCGGTGCCTTCCTGCAATTCCAGCTCTCCTCAGCTCCAGCTCTTCACCATTCCAAAGATTTCTCCCACATTTTGCAGCACTCCTCGCCTCAGGTTGGGTGCCAGCCACCCAAAAGTGCCTTTATCCTTCATTTCCAAGGCATTATTTGGGAATTTTCAGCTCTTTTCCACTCCCCATGCCTGTATGTGCTGCTGCTTCCTGCACTCCTCCTCAGCACTGACTCCAGTTTAGCAAGGAAATAGAAAGAAAGGAAAAATAAAAAAAAAAATAGGAAAACAAAAAAGGAGCAGCTTTTTGTGAGCAGAACAGTGTAAAGCTGAATTTAATACTGCAGTGAAACGCTTGGATCCAACAACGGCCACGCTCCGGAGGGGAGCAGAACGTGGAATTTCACAGGGAATTTCACAGGGATCTCACATGGAATCTCACAGGAAATCTCACAGGAAATCTGACCATGGAATCTCACATGGAATCTCACATGGAATCTCACCATGGAATCTCACCATGGAATCAAAGCTCCCTGAAGTGACCCAGAACTCAGCAGATTCCCAGGGATGAGGCCTCTGGGCTGGAAATTCCCATCCCACAGGGATCCTCCACCCACCAGGTGCTGTGCCCATCCAAGAATCACCTCCTGACTGGATATTCCATCTTTTTTTTTCAAGGATGAATGATCCTTGTGCACCTTGCAGAGGGAATTTGTGCCTCTCATCCCCAGGGATCTCCTCCTGTGGGAATTCCCGGTGCTCCTCTGTTTGTTTGAGGACACACTTTGCTACAGAGCTCCAATAAAATCCATTTCCCTGGAAACAAAAAATCACTTTAGAAGCCCTTGGTGTATTTCTCCTCACAATTCCTGGAAGTTTGGGGGTTTTCCCCCCTCTTCTACAATCAAAGTTACCTGGAATTCCAGCTGATTCCACAGGGAAGCTGCAAACTTCCCCCAAACCCCACCTCAGGGATGTTGTGAGGCTTCAAAATGCAGAAATATTTTGAGTATTTGTCATTTCTCCAGTGCCCCAGAGGGCGGCTGGCAAAGGGTTTTCACCCCTGGCAATTGGAAAATTCCAGTTTTTCCTCAGAATTCCAGACTGCAGCACGAGCAGAGCCTGGGATGGGGGTGGAAGCTCACTTTAAACCCAGCTCTGGGCACATCAGCACAAATCTGGAGGTTTTTTCCCCCTAATGAGCAGATCCCAACTTTCCTCACCAACAGGGAAGTTCAGGCTCTAGAAACTCTGTAAATAAGTAAGAAATTCCCTAAAGCTTGGATTCACTGCCCATCAGTTTTCTGGGATATATGAACAGCAACATTACAACAAACGTGGAACAGATTTTTGAACTCCTGCCCTTGCTTAGAGTTGAATTTTGGCCCAAAAAAATCCCAATTTTCTGACTCTTAATGCCTATTTTTTGTTGGAAAACAGAGCAGGAACAAGGAATAAAGAAACCACCTCATTCCTGCAGGTGCCCCAGCTGCTTTGAAACACCCAACAAAGAATTCCAGCACTTCCCAGGGCTCCAAAAAAACCCCAACAAGAATTCCCATTCCCAACTCTCCCAAGCTGATCCCTAAAGGAACACCCCCGTGGCACTGCCTGCTCTGCATGCATTTAATAGCACAGCCATGCTCATCTTTACAGCCTTTTTTGGGTTTTTTTGGGATTATTCCTCCTGATCCAAGGATTCTGCCTGGAAAACTTCAGTCCCTGTGGCCTCGTGCTGCCTGTGCCTCCAGCCCAGGGCGTGGGACACGAGTCTCCTGGCCACCGCCGTGTCCGTCTGCGGCCTCTCCTTCCCCAGATGAAGCAGTTCTAGGGAAAAATGGGAAAAAATTACCCAGCTGGGACATGGTCAGGGAGAAATTCCTGGTTAAATCCCAAAAATCAGCTTTTTTTCCCTGCTGTTTTATTTGTTTATCGAGATGAAATCTGTCTCGGTGAATAAATTGGGTTTTTTTTTCAGGATGATGGAATTCCATATTTTACATTTTCTGTTGTTTGGTCACCATAAAGGTTCAGGGCTCTGCTGCTGTGGGGAAAATTGTTCCCCATCCTCTTCCAGGAATTATTCCTGGCAAAATTCCCAGCATCCCATCCTTGTGAATTGACAAAATTCCCAACATGCCATCCCTTTCCATGCCTGGAAACACCCAGGCAATTTATCCATTTATCCAATTGAAACTCCTCGAAGCAGCTGCCAAAATCCTTGGAAAACAGCAAGGAAAATTAAAAAAAATCTGCATTTTCAATTATATCTAAATATTTCAGATGATTTGGGAAGCCCTGTGGTCAGTGCCCTCCATTTCTTGGATTGCTGCAATTCCATCTGCAAGGAAATCCACCAAAATTTCACCAACTCCACAATAATTTGGATATGGGGGTTAATTAATTAATCCTTTATCAATTTGCAGTTGTTATTTACACAGCAAGGGGGGCTTTCTTTGTTTTTCCAAAAGTTTCATTCATTAAGGGAAAAAAAAATTCATTAAAATTTTTTTTTTAAAAGAGACACTGTCAGCTAATAAAAATCCAAATTTGTGTTTGGAAAATAATCAATTGAAACTGGATACCAACAGAATTTATGTTTAATTACTACATTAAATTATTAATTAAATAATAAATTAATTCTATTTTCATTTAACCTGATTCAGAATAGTGAATAAATTAAAAAAAAAAAAAAACAGATGAAGGGGAGATGCAAATAAAGCAAATTTTGGATGTTTCCTTTAAATGCAGCAGTGCTGAAACTCAGGAATTTGTCACTGTGACAGTGTCCCTTTAAAGCATTCAAATTGGAATTTATTCTGACTGCAGTGAGCTGGAAAATGCCAGGAATTGTTGGTTCAGAGTCTGCTGCTGCTGAGGTTCATGGCTTTGCTTTCCTGTGGCAACTGGACCTGATCAATGTGATTGAAAGGCAATGAAATCGATCAATCAATCAATCAATGGTAATCAATCAACTGATGATCATGGCTCAGCTTCACCATTTCTCCTTCCTGAATAAAATTATGCCAACCACAAGATTGGGTTTGTTTCCTTTGGATTGCCAGGGGGAGAGGGCAGAGAAAATTCCTGGGGAATTGGATGGCTTTGCCTGCCAAAAAATCCCAATTCCAGCACAACCCTCCCCTTCCAGCTGCCCTGAAGAGCAGCAAATTACACCCAAAAAAATGAAATTCAATCTGAATTCCAGCAAAATTCCACACCACAGCTCAGTGCCGAGAAATCCATAAAAAACCCAATCAGAAAAATAATTGATCCTGTCATCTGGACCGGTGAGGAGTGGGAAATCAAGAGAGGTGGGCTGAATTTAGGGATTCTGCCTTACTTGGTCTCTGGAGTGCCTTGACCTTGGCCTGTTTGCTGGCGTGGATCAGGGGCCGGATCTTCAGGCAGGGGTAACGGGAACCCAGGGCCTGGGACGCTGCAGGGACACAAAAAGATGGAATTAACCCCAAAATTCACATTATGGTGTGCTGGAACCCAGGGCACAGGAGAGATTTCTCTGCCTGTCCTGAGATGTCCCAACCCCCAGCAGTACTCTGCTTTTAACCCCGTCCATGGAGAAAGCTCCCAAGGCTTTGGGATGAACTGGGATCAACGAGTGTGTGAAATAGATTGTGGTGTAGCTTATCACAGGGTGAAAACTTGGGGGTTTTAGTATTGAAAAAGTTTAGTATGGAAAAAGTTTAGTACGGAAAAGAGAGTTTAGTATGGAAAAAGTTTTTAGTATAGAAAAAAGAAGTTTAGTATGGAAAATTTTAGTATGGAAGAAAAAGTTTATCATGGAAGAAAATGGTTAGGATGGAGGAAAAAGTTTAGTAGGAAAGGAAAAGTTTAGTATGGAGGAAAAAGTTTAGTATAGAAGTTTAGTATGAAAAAAAAGTTTAGGATGGAAAAAAAGTTTAGGATGGAGGAAAAAATTTAGTGTGGAAGAAAATGTTTAGGATGGAAAAAAAAAGGTTTAGTGTGGAGGAAAAAGTTCAGTATGGAGGAAAAAGTGGTTAGTATGGAAGAAAAAGTTTAGTGTGGAAGAAAATGTTTAGGATAGAGGAAAAAGTTTAGGATGGAAAAAAAGATTAGTGTGGAAGAAAAAGTTTAGGATGGAAAAAAATTCAGTGTGGAGGACAAAGTTTAGGATGGAGGAAAAAGTTTAAAGTGGAAAGAAAAGTTTAGCACGGAAAAAGTTTAGTATGGAGGAAAAAGTTTAGTATAGAAGAGTTTAGTATGGAAAAAAGTTTAGTGTGGAGGAAAAAGTTTAGTGGGAAAAAAAAAAGTTTAGTGGAAAAAAAAAAAAAGTTTAGCCTGGAAAAAATTTAGTATGGAGGAAAAGTTTAGTATTGAAGAAGTTTAGGATGGAAGAAAGTTTAGGATGGAGGAAAAAGTTTAGGATGGAGGAAGTTTAATCAGAGAAAAATAAACAACCTAAACTGGAAAACCAACAATCCCATCCACCCCTCGTTCCTAACACAAAAATCTTTAAAGATCTCAAAAAAACAACAAATAAAGTTTCCACAATGGTACAAAGATCCCGTCCACCCCTCATTCCTAACACAAAACTCTTCTCTAAGATCTCCCCATCACAAAAAACCCACCAAAAAGCACAAAAGCGCTCAGTGATCTCAGCATCTGCTCCAGGCTGGGGCTGACCCAGCTGAAGTCGCGGTGGGAGCCTCAGGAGGAATCCAAAAAACAGGAAAAATGGTTTTTTAAAAGAGTTTTGGCACTTTCAGAGGAAATCCCAAACAAAAGAGCAGAAGCTGCTGGGGTACGAGAGGAGCCCCTCCAGGGCTGGCTGCACCTGGGGTGTTTGTCCTCCCAAAAAAATGACTTTATCCAGATTTTTGGTGCCATCCCCCTCCTTGGGAGGTGACTGCATGTTCACTGGATTTTTTTCAAGTCATGAAAGACAAAAAATGGGAAAAAAAAGTGAAAAGCCACTTTATTATCATTGTTATTATTATAAGTCATTTCTAAGAGTGCACTCAGCTGCATCCAAGGCAATTAAAAATCAGTTTCCATATCCCATCCCAGAAATTCCAGCTTCCCAAACCTTTCCAGGATGGAAAGGAACAGGAAAAAACATTAAAATATTAAAAAATAGACTATAAAAAATAAAAGTAAAATTAAATAACAATTTAAATAAAATATAATAAAATATAAAAAAATATAAAAATAAAATAAAATAAAATAAAAAATCTCAGGGCACTGGGCAGGGGCTGGGGAGCTCTGGGCTGCCTCAATCCCACCCCAAATACCTGTGGAGAGGCTGGAGAAGATTCCCAGGGCATGGGTATCATCCACCCACTGGATTTTGAAGCCACTCTCGCTGCAAGAAAAGAGAATAATTTCAATTAATGTGGAGAAAAACGAAGCCCAGATAAAACCCAGCAGCCCAGGAGGGGTTTTCAGAGGTTTCTGGAGTTTCCCAAAGCATTATTCCCATTTTAAATGGGAGAAAAGGCAGGAAAAGAAGGAAAAAAGCCATTAAATGTGCCCTGCTCGAGGCCACGACGTGGAATTGCCCCAGAATTCTCCTTTTTGTCTCAAACCCAACCTCAGTTTCAGGGACTGGCTTTTGGCACCAAAATATTGCCATTTTTTAAGTGCTCCCCAGGCATAAAAATAAAAACCAAGGGATTTGTGAAGTGATTTTGGGGTGAAATCTCATAAAGAGTCAGTGGAAAATGGGAATTTGAGAGCAGGAATTCCAAAATATTCCAAAATATTC